AGTCCACAACAGGTAAACGCTCTGACTTTTCCTTCCCCTTGCGTTCGTGCGTAGGGACTCGCGCCGCCCCACCAGTCTCTGTCCCTTCCCGCCTGCTCTTCCATGGGGGGTGGGCGAACGGCCCTGCAGCCGGTCTGAATGCCTCAGTGTCCCCTGGGATGGAAAAGGAGGTCCCCTCTGCCCCCGGGGGTGGTGTTGCTTTGAACTGGGAGGGGTTTATATATCTCCGAAACACTTCTGAAAGCCACAAGAACTGTCCTGGCCTTCTGTTCTTTGGGGTCGGAGCCAGCCTGGCTGAAAAAGAAGGCACTGAGGGGCTCTTTCAGGGGATGCGTTGGCAACTCGTCCTTCTGGGCTTTCAAAATCAGCATGGGCCCTGGGGGAATTTGCCCGGGTTGTGGGCAGTGCGCTGGCGTGGCCAGACGCTGTGAGGAGCTTCAGGGTTGATACCCGAGAGCAAAGTGGGCGCCTGCAAAGAGAGTATGAGGTCTGCCTTTGCTCATCTGTGAGGGGCAAACCTTAGCCCTGCAAAATTGAGGTTTTGTGGAGCACAGCGGGTATCAACAGCTTGACCGTGCTCCGACGGGATGAGCAAAGCTGGCATAAAAGGTGGCTTTTGGGCGACTGTGAATATTGGCCCTGGAGGAGGTGGAGTTTAAAAGCTGCCTGGTCCTTCCCTCTGCCTTCCCAGTTCCTCACCGGACCTGTTTGTGCGTCTCTGCTGTTGGACTGGCACTGACGGATGCTCTCCATTTGTATTTCTCCTAGGAAACACACTGGAGAAAAGCCATTTGAATGTTCCAAATGTGGCAAATGTTATTTTAGAAAAGAAAATCTCCTGGAACACGAAGCCAGAAATTGCATGAACCGATCCGAGCAGGTACGCCTGGGAAGCTGCCAGCGGTGGTCTGGAAAGCGGGTGCTGTTTTGCAGGAGCGGAATTAGAGCCTTTTTCTAGCCACGGTCCGTGTCACACTTGGCTACTGAACAGAAACCCCTTACCACCACTGCGCAGCATGCGTACCACAGCCAGGATGCCCCTAAGTCCGCTGCTGATGAGAATGGCAGCAGCTTTTGTCTGATTTACCAGGCAGCTCTTATTTTATCTGTTTTTTTCAAGCACATGAGAATACTCTTTGTACCATAAAAGATCCAGATTGCTGTGGGCACGGGTTAAACATCGTAACCAGGTCCCAGCACCTGAGTGCCAAGCACTGGTCTGAGCTGCGGGCTTCGCATCGGACTCTTGGTTCTGTGGAAGCCGATGCCTCCCCCGTCTCTTACAGGTTTTCACGTGTTCGGTCTGCCAGGAGGTGTTCAAGAGGCGAATGGAGCTGCGGCTGCACATGGTGTCACACACGGGGGAGATGCCATACAAGGTCAGCAGTACCTGCCTTCGACGTCCCTACAAATGGCTGCTAGACACTGGCACGAAGGAAGGGGGGAGGGGGGAACTTTTCTGGTTTGGGGCAGCCTAGCTCAGGCTGTCAGGGTAGCTGAGCACACCAGCTCCCTTCCCCAGTCTGTGACAGCCAGCTGAGGGTTGTTCCCCATCTCCAAGCCGGAACACACTCCAGGGAAACACCAAAGCCAGGCGCTTTCTGTGACCGTACCAGGGATTCGTGTTCTGTGTCAGACTGGCGCTCCCCTGCCTGTTAGGCCAGTATGCCGCCGGTCCTCTCCTTGTGCTGAAATTGCTGTTTGGGGAGCAGCTGGAAGCTGACCCTCCTCTCCTGTCTTTCAGTGCTCCTCCTGCGCCCAGCAGTTCATGCAGAAGAAGGACCTGCAGAGCCACATGATAAAGCTGCACGGCGCGCCAAAGCCCCACGCGGTAAGGGGAGCGGGCGGGCGGTAGTGGGCTTTTGGGAGGGGATTATTCTGTCCTTAGGCCTGGCCTAGAGAATGGTGCCCATTGTCCTATCTGTCTCTGTTTAGCAAGGCAGGGAGTTGCAGAGCTGCTGGAAACAGGGTTTTTTTGGGTACAGGAGCAGCCCTTGTTATTTTTTTTGGCTGATAGCTCCAAGTACTGACCAGCATTTCACCTTTGTTAGGCTGTCTCATCTCATTAGGCGTCCTGGAG